CTCACTCACTCACTCACTCACTCACTCACTCACTCACTCACTCACTCACTCACTCACTCACTCACTCACTACTTGTCCCCCTCTCCCGACCTGTCTCTTTCGTGGCACTTTCCAGTCTTTCTGGCACAACACCTAAAGATCAGTAAACTGTAGCGAATCCTTATTTTCCGTTGTTACCATTTTTCTGAAAGTGCAAATTTTTGGGAGAGCGGACTTCTTTATATCTGTTTCCCTCTTTCTCACCCTTCCTCCCCTGTTCTAGGCCATACTTCCTTTGTTTCTTTCATCCTTTCGTTCTGCCGCTATATTTTTCCTCAGCAGGGATACCCAAACGTGTGGGATGGCAGTGGAGGGGAAGTACCAGTGGCAGCAGCAGCAGCAGCAGCAGCCGCCGCCGCTAGGGCGGAGAAATGTAGAGGCAGCAAGTCGTGTGTCGGGGCGGGCCATGGGCGGCGGGCATGGGGACATGAATAACAAGCGAAGCCATGAGCCCGGGCGGGGCGGGGCGGAGCGGTGCAGGGATCCGGGGATAGGAGCAAATGAACCGGAACGCAAGCAGCTAGCCCTGGAAAAATGGACCCCGCGGAGCCGGTGCGGCCGCGATGGGGGATGGGGAATGGGGATGGGGGATTGCAGTAGCGCTCGTGGGGATTTAGGGCGCACGCTGCTGTGGCCGCCGTGTAGTAGGGGAGGTGGTCGCTAGCGGGCAAGGGCCCCAGGTAGAAGGGTCAGGATTGTCGCTAGCGGGCATCGGAGGGAAAAGAGGGGATTGTGCGGGAGAAAAGGGAAATTGTTGCTAGCGGGCAGCGCGACGGGTTGCCTACCTCCACGGTCCACGGCGCTGGCGCTGGGCCGAGTACGGCCAAGGGCGGTGTCAGATGCGTGAGACGGCGCATGGTCGTTTGCGGCACTAAGCCCCCAGGTCAGAAGGGTCGGTGTCGATTGTGGCGGGGCCAAGGAAGGCGCGGATTTTCGTTTGCGGCGCGCGCGGGGAAAGCCGAGGGAAGAAAAAGACACCCCTCCGCAACGAAACGACATGTGTCGGCTAGGTCTCGGACAACTTCAGGTCCTCATGCCGCCAAAGCGTTGCACGGAGCGATAGCGGAGTGCAACGCTGCATTGACAGTACCATTACTGATTTTCTGTACTAAATTAGGTTTGTTAGTCTAGGTTTGCTTCCTCTTATTTAAAAGCAAAGCTCGGAAGCTGCACGCCGGAGCCGTGCGACTGTCTGCGTCCGTAAACGGTGTGAGTGAGCGGAACCCGCACCACAAGTCGCCCGGCTCGCTGCGGCCCCAACGCCGTGGAGGTAGGCAACCCGTCGCGCTGCCCGCTAGCGACAATTTCCCTTTACTCCCACACAATCCCCTCTTTTCCCTCCGATGCCCGCTAGCGACAATCCTGACCCTTCTACCTGGGGCCCTTGCCCGCTAGCGACATACGCCCTGTAGTAGTTATCGGAAACACAAAAAGGAGCCAAAGGAGAGGTGAATAGCGGCGGGGAATACAGATTTATCTCCGTCGGGCCGGGCTCTTTAGCAGCGACCCGCTGCTGCTGCTGCACGGCCGGGACTTGTACTCTTCATAACGGTGTAGTGAGGCGAGTGAAACTGGAATAACTGCCCTCCCGGCCGAGCACACACACACACACACAACATGCGCACACGCACAACATGCTCACAGTCTAATACACACTCACAACAGGCGTAACAAAGCGTGAGGCTCGGGGGCGTGGCGGGCGGAGGGAGGGGGACGGGGAGTAGCCGAGCGTCTGGCGGAATTGAATAGCAATAATATCATTGAGTGCGCGCAATAACACATACTACTATTCAGCGAGAGAGAAAAATAAGGACAGAGAGTGAGAGAAAGAGAGAGAAAAAAAAGAAAATAGGAAAGGAGAGAAAAAGGTTGCGGGCAAAGGGGGGGGGGGCGACCGTAGCGAGGAGAGCAAGAAGGGGGCGCCTGCATGGCAGCCTATATATGGAAGATAGCGAGCGGCGGGCGAAGGAGTGGGAAGGGAATCCCAGGGAAATGGGCGGCGCCGAGGGAAGTTATCACAGTCATCACAACAGCGCCGCGGGCGGGGCCGGCCGGGCCGGGCGGAGCCTCGGGCAGAGCCGCCAGGATGAAAAAGGCGACGGTATTTTTCAGGTGCGAAATGGTCGGGCGAGAGACAGGAGCGGCGCGGCGGAGGCTCGTGTGTGCGGCTGGCGCCTAGCTCCCGGCTGCGGCGCGTTCGTTATGCCACCACGGGGTTGCCCCCCCCCCCCTCTCTCCCTCTCTCCCTCTCTCCCTCTCTCCCTCTCTCCCTCTCTCCCTCTCTCCCTCTCTCCCTCTCTCCCTCTCTCCCTCTCTCCCTCTCTCCCTCTCTCCCTCTCTCCCTCTCTCTCCCCCTCTCTCCCCCGCAGAGCAACAGACGAGGACGGCGCAAGCCTGTTATATTAGCGAGGCGCGAGCGGCTTAGCTGCCGGGACCTTTACCGCATCCTACCCCCCCCCTCCCCCACCTCAGCGGGGCTCCCCGCGCCCCCCACCGAGGTCCAAATGATGGTATCACTACACGCTTTGCCAGCGCCGCAGGCGAACGTGTGTGTGCCACTACA